TTCTTTTTGGAACCATTTTCAAATGAACCCTTCTAAGAACTATGCCAAGCCCTATTCAGAGATGTAGCAGATTGGAGCTTAACTGTTGACTGTATCATTAAATGATGTCCAACAAGACAAAAAATACCATTTATCTCAATTCCTGGACCCTACCCTCAATATCCACTCTTTTGACCTAACTGTCCACCTTGGAAAGGAAGCCCCTGTCATTTGAGATCCAAATGTTTAACTAATGTAATGTTTTTTACTGAAAACATTTGCTTCTTCACTATGGGATATTAATAGGGAATATCATTCATTCCTTTATTCAACAAGTATTGAACTTCTAGGCACTGGAGGTTTAGCAGTGAACAAGACACCCCCTCCCCCCAAACAAGCAGTCTTCCTGGAATATTCTAGTAGACATAAGTAAAAGGGAAACAGTATACCTAATTCATCCAGGAATAGTGAGGACAGTCTAGCTAGAAGAGTTAGAGACATTGTAGTAAGAGGTCAGAGGCAAGATCACATGGGCCTTGAGTCATCTAAATTCCACAAGAGGGGGACCTCAGGAGACTAGGTAGTTAACAATCCAGGTAGTAATGGTGGCTTGCTTAAAAGTGATTGTAATGGAGATGGTAAGAAATGGGGAGATTCTCTATTTTGAATAAACTGAATGATCAAGGATGACCAGAGGATTTTGGCCTTCAATATAGGAGTGTTTTGGTTACACTGTGATCTGGAATACCATCTTTTATTTTTTTTTAATGTTTATTTTTGAGAGAGAGGGAGTGGGGGAAAGGCAGAGAGCAAGGGAGACACAGAATCTGAAGCAGGCTCCAGGCTCTCAGCTGTCAGCACAGAGGCTGATGCTGGGCTTGAACTCACAAACCTCAAGATCATGACCTGAGTTGAAGTCAAGCCTAACTGAGCTGCCCAGGCGCCCCTGAAATAACCATTTTAGACATATCCAATGTGAAAGGCCTATTTACATCCAAAGATATCAAGTAAGCAGTTGATAGACAAAACCTGCAATTCAAAGAAAGGTGTAGGCTAGAAATAAACTGGAAGTCAGTTTGAGATACTGAATACTAGGGAGAGTATGGCTAAATGTCCAAGGACCAAGCCTTAGACCTCCTCTAAAGTCTGAGATGAACTAGTAAGAGTAGCCACTGACATAGGAAATCTGAGGTAAGACTCTGGAAGAAAATCAACTGTCAAATGTCACTAAAAGCAAATAAAATGTGGGTCATGAATGGACCATTTGGACTTAAAGTCACTGGTAATCTTGACAGCAACAGCTTTTGGGGGTCCAATTGCATTATTCACAAGCAAAATTAGAGGGGGACACCTGGGTGGCTGTTGGTTAAGCACCCAGACTCTTGATTCCAGCACAGGTCATGATCTCTTGGTTCCTGGGATTGAGCCCTGTGTCATGCCCTGCACTGAAAGCCTTGGGATTCTCTCCCCTCCCCCACTCATACACACACACTCTCATTTTTTAAAAAATGAAAAAAGTAGTGTTACAAAGAATGTGGTTAAACATCAAACTGCTTATCACCCCCAAAAATATATATGGTTAAGTTCTTTGAGCTTTAAGGGGTTTGAGTAGGGGCTTATCTGGAAGGGCAAACTTCAGTATGTATGCTGATGGAAGGGATTGGTTAAACAAACATTGAGAAACATGAAAACAGCTACAGCTATGAGCTTGATTAGACAAGAAGGCAAAAACCTGTTCATATATACATAGATGGTAGGATGGAAGTACGGGAATTTGTGAAGTTCTCTTCTCACCCAGTTTAAACGTTCTTCAGGATTTTAAGGTCTTGAGCTGATCAAGAATGAAAAAAGTTGGGAGGTGAAAAGGACTAGAACAGAATGGGTAAATGACTAAATACTGGATAGTGGACAACATCAAATGCCCACTTATTCACAGGTGATCAATAACCAATTTCTCTAGTCAAATTCAACTTCATAGTAAAGGTGAACATTGTGCCATTTTACTATTGGGAAATGAGCACTTGCATAAAAAAAAAAAAAACTAAACAAAATTAACAGGCTCTTCTCATTGCTCAGTGTAGCAGAGTGGTTCTCCAAGTGTGGTCCCCAGCCACCACCTGAAAACTTGTTTAAAATACAAGTTTTCAGGGACACCTGGGTGGCTCAATTGGTAGAGTGCCCAAGTGGACTTTAGCTCGGGTCATGATCCCAGGGTCCTGGGATCAAGCACCACCATCAGGCTCTGGGCTGAGCATGGTGCCTGCTTGGGATTCTCTCTGCCCCTCTCCCCTGCTTGCATGTATGCTCTAAAATAAAAAAAAACATTTAGAAAAAGCAAGTTTTCAGGTCTCATCCTACAATACTGAATAAGAAATTCTGGGGGCAGGGCCCTACCATATTTTAACAAGCCTTTTAGATGGTTCAAGAACCATTTAAAAACACAGGCCATACAGAAAAAAGATTTCATTAACCATCCATAGCACTACCATCCAGATCACTACAGCTTGAAATAGATGACTACCCTTTCACAGCTATTTAGTAACTAAGAGCAATAGATAAAATCCATGAACGCTTCAGAAGAGTTCACATCACTATCAGTTCAAAACCTCTGATTCACCAAGTGTGTATTACTCAAAAGTAATGATCAGAA